ATGCAACCCATTGCAGTATTTTGTTACTATGTCAATGAATTTTTGCATCCTTTTGGTTATAGCTTCATATACCTGTGGGTTTGTAAGTTCAACAGTGGAAACCATACTTATTTTTAATTTGAATTTCTGCAGCTCAAATGAAATTAATCATTTTTTTTGTGATGCTCCTCCAATGTTTAAATTGTCCTGTTCAGATACTCAGCTTGCTCATTTTGTGCATTTCATTTTATCCACTGTAATTGCACTGACAACTTTTCTGACAGTTTTGATTTCCTACATTGCCATTGTTATTGCCGTCCTGAAGATCAGCTCTGCCCAGGGAAGATATAAAGCCTTCTCCACCTGTGCCTCCCATCTCATCACTGTGACCATTTTCTTTGGAACCATAATCTTCATGTATATACGACCTGGCTCCAATTTCTCATTGGATAAAGACAAAATCATATCTGTCTTTTATACTCTTGTCATCTCCTCACTTAATCCACTTATCTATAGTCTACGGAACAAGGAGGTGAAAAATGCAGTTAGGAGAATGTTAGACAAGATAATATTACTGAAGTAAAAATGTTTTAAATATAACTTCCTTCATATTAAAGAAATAACACATAATTGCATTTTCTCTGAGGAAAAATTCTATTGAAAGTTTGATAACATTTTGAGTTGGCATTTGGTTGCATTTGACCAGATTAAGATCCATTCCTTCAATATATAGGAGTATTTTCTTTACATAAATGGAAGGGACAGCAAATCCCTCAGTGCACTGATGGAGTTGAACTCAAATCCATGTCCCCCCCAACTTGCAATATTCACTGCCGGCTTCCCCATTGACTTTCTTGGAAAGCTGGCAAATAAGATTGCAAACAGCAGTCACTTGGCAAGAGAGGTAAATTTAAACTGATCGACAAGCATCCAAAATATGGTTATATGACTAGGGGCCACATGTCATTTTATAAAAATTGGAAATTCCATACTAACTGTAAAGGCCACCAACAATTACAATTGTTAACATTTTGAAATAATATTCTTTTGAACTATATGCCTTAGATGCATCCATGGGCCACAAGTTTGACAGCTGATCTAGACTTTGTATGGACAAAGTTATTGCAATATTGGATCATTTATACAAAACACATCAGGTTCAAAAAAGTAAACAAAATATGATAGTTATATAAATGTATTAGAAATATAAATGTATAGAATAATAATTGCATTACATAACTACATATAGAATTGTAACTAGTTACTGCTAAAATGATATATTATACTTTTTGCTGTTTCCTTTGTTGTTGTTGCTAAACTGGAAACAGCCTGGGCCCTATGTTGTCTCAAGGCTGACTCCAAGAGAAGAGACATTGGGGTGGAAGTGATCCTTGAAGTGCTCCCCATAAGGACATTGTGGCAAAGCCAAGGGAGAATCTTGATAGGGCTCAGAAATGTTACAGATGTCCTGCTGACGTTAAAGGACTGGATATTGTTAGGACAACTAAGTGTGGTCACCCTCATTGTAATGGCAGGTTCAGGGGAGGGTGCTGAGGGCAAGATCCCAGTGAAACAGCTCTATCCAAAGGACACTCCACTCACCCCAGAATAGAAGAAGAGGGCCAGAGATTAACTTTTGAGGTGGTGGAATTTATTCTTAAAACATGAGTTTGATGTGAGATGTGTTAGGAGTGCCCAACATTGAATTTGATTATAAGAGGATAGGTTGTTCAGAGAGCGGTCTTGACAAATCCCTTTAGGTGACTTGGAGAACTTCAGAGAACATCCAGAAGAATGGAAAATTTGGGGATTATCTGAGAGTCTCAGAGCTCTTATGGCTCTACCATAGTGGTGTCTAAAAACAAATGTGGAAGGAAGTGCATAGATTATAACATGCTCAACCAGAGCAACATCCCAAACCGGTATACTACTCCACAGATCAAGGACACATTATATTGCCTACTGAGGACTAAGTGGTTCAGTGTGCTGGATCTGAAGAGCAGGTAACCATCAGTTTCCCATGTACCCAGATGATTGAGAGAAGATGGCATTCATTTGCCCACTGGGGTTCTACAAGTACAATCAGATGCTCCATGGTTTATCAGGGACCCAAGCAATGTTCCAGCAATTTATGGAGCAGACAGTCAGAGACATGAACTTGACTGAGGTGTTAGCATATTTAGATGACATCATTGTCTTCAGGGAGATTTTTGAACAACATGAAGAGTGACTGGAGAAAGTCCTGATATAAATCCAGAAGGAGGGGTTGAAGCTGTCCCGGGAGAAGTGTCAGTTTTAGTTTAGTTTAGTTTACTTTATTGTCACTGCATCTCATACAACGAAATCAAACACCATCTTCACTGCACATCATGACCATGAAAATAAACACAAACACACATCCTTCACACTCCATACATAGAACGGAAACCCCCACATGGCACCAACACTGCACTATACAGCAGAATTCAAAAGAGCTACTACCCTGGGATAGAAGCTGTTTTTCAGCCTATTTGTCCTTGCTTTTATTATTATCTACCGTCTTCCAGATGGTAAGAGTTCAAAAAAAAGGGTTCCCAGGATGAGATGGGTCTTTGAGAATACTTTGAACTTTATCAAGTCTCTGTCAGCTATCTTGGGCATGTTGTCTCCAAAGAACGGATATCAACTGACCCTATGAAGCTTGAGGCTATTACAGATTTGCCAAAGGACAGAAGGCAGAGGCAAATGAGCCAGGCAAGTGAGCCATCCAGTGACCAGAGGGAGCATCGGATGCAGTAGAGGACAGCTGAGTTGACTTAATGTAGGTAAGTGACCAAGCAAGTGACCAGAGGTGGTGCTAGACATACCAAGGGACAGAGGAGGTGAGCAGAGGCACATGGACAAGCAACCAGAGTGGGCTAATGGCCAGAGGAAATGACAAAATGAGAGATATTGAGAAGCCAGTCACAGAAGAAGCTAATTGTCTGAAGAAAGGGAGACAGGGATCTAGACTCTAGTGGCCCTTTCAGGGATAGTGCTACATTTGGAAGGAAGACAATCCCCCACCATGTTGCTAATCCATGTTTGCATAGACTATGTCTAACATGCAAAATTGCACTGTCCATTTTGCCAGATTTAAAATAGGTATCTTCACTACTTTGCCATTGTTGGTCTGGCTTCACAACTTGTGCTTTAAGAGTATGGTTGAGATCAGGGGTGAAATTCAGAAGTTTTTCCTATCAGCTCTGTGGGCGTGGCTTGGTGGGCGTGGCTTGGTGAGACTCAGTCTCTAAAAGGAAGAAGTTCCAGGAGGGCCATTTTTCGCCCTCCCAGAACCTCTGCCCAGACCCTGCACTTACCTGCATCCCAAACGGGCCACATGGAGACTCCTGGGAGAAGAGGGGCAGGGTGGGCAGGGCCAGCCAGTCGGTTCAAGTACCAGTTTGGCAAACCAGATGTAAGTTTAACATCTATTTCACCCAAACCAGTCCAAACTGGTAGAATCTCACCCAAGTTTATCCATTTCCACCCAGTTTTAAGCCTCATATACAACTGCTTCTGTTTCAGTCAATGACTGTGTTACAGTTTATATTTGAAATTGGTGATCATTGGCACCTGCTTGATATAATTGGTTAATCATACATCTGACTCTAATCCTATAAAATCCCTGACTTTGTGCAAGCTTAAGAATTAATGCTGTTTTGAAGGCAAAGGGTCATCACACCAAATATTGATTGGATTTGGATTTCTCTTCTGTTCATTTCTATTTTGTTATAACTGATAAAAATGGACTATTAACATTTTATTTCTGAAAACATCATTAATTTACAGGATTTTCTGTACAACCAGCATTTTGCAAAATACTGCATATAAAAATAAAATGAAGCAATGAAGTATTTTTAGAAAAACTGGTAAAATACAAAATTGCTGGAGTTAAAATCCCATTTAAATCAGATCAAGTCACTTTCACTGCAAAGGAAAAAAACTGTCATGCCACTAACTTCCGTGCACCAAAAGAAAAAATATTTTAAAACTCTGGATTAAATTGATGAAAGTTTACATTTATAATCAAGCAAAAGAGTATAAAGTAAATCGGCATTCAGCCAGACTATTAACAATCAAACATCAAAAAGTGAAGTTAAAAACCACACCTAAAAATACAAACAGTGACTGGAAAAGATGGAGATGCAACCACTCCAGCCATTGTAATCCTCTATATTTTCTGTCCATGGTCATCCAAGGGACGTTCCTAGATACTCCCATTCAGATCTGGGGAGTATGCTGTCAAAGGACCAGCTTTGCTAACAAAGTCAGTTGTTCACTGGCAAGGAGAAAAACATGCCTCACTGCTCAGAGTGCTATTTTCTGGGGATCCTCATGCCAAATTTATTTTATGGGAAAACCAACTTTAAACAGAAAGATGGTGATATGAAAAAATGGGTGGAAGTGGGGAAGTTATCAATAGAATAGAATAGAATGGAATGGAATGGAATGGAATGGAATAGAATAGAATAGAATAGAATAGAATAGAATAGAATACTGTATTGGCCAGGTGTGATTGGACACACAAGGAATTTGTCTTGGTGTAA